AACTCGCCGCTGAGCCAGGCTTCGCCCTGCTCGGCATAACCCGTGCGCAGCTCGAGCAGCCTTTGCTGCGACGCCGCTTCATCGGCCTGACACCAAGAACTGCTTCATTGCAGAGCACTAAACATCCCACCCGACGACGACGCTGACAGCTCACTGCAACCGAAGCTGACATGGACAATCCTCAAGAACGCCGCTTCCCCATGAAGCCTGCTCCCCGGCAATGCTCTGTGATAGAGCTTCCAACAGCTCCGCTCTGGAGAGCTTGCGCCCGGCGGACTTCTGTCGCACCTCCGAAGCGACGCAGAGCTTAGCCAGCTCATCCCGACTCTGCTTCTCCAGCTCGGTGCGGAGCCAGGCTTCGCCCTGCTCGGCATAACCCGTGCGCAGCTCGAGCAGCCTTTGCTGCGACGCCGCTTCATCGGCCTAACACCAAGAACTGCTTCATTGCAGAGCACTAAACATCCCACCCGACGACGACGCTGACAGCTCACTGCAACCGAAGCTGACATGGACAATCCTCAAGAACGCCGCTTCCCCATGAAGCCTGCTCCCCGGCAATGCTCTGTGATAGAGCTTCCAACAGCTCCGCTCTGGAGAGCTTGCGCCCGGCTGACTTCTGTCGCACCTCCGAAGCGACGCAGAGCTTAGCCAGCTCATCCCGACTCTGCTTCTCCAGCTCGGTGCGGAGCCAGGCTTCGCCCTGCTCGGCATAACCCGTGCGCAGCTCCTGCAGCTTTCGCTGCGAGGCCGCTTCATCGGCCTGACACCAAGAACTGCTTCACTGCAGAGCACTAAACATCCCACCCGACGACGACGCTGACGGTTCACTGCAACCGAAGCTGACATGGACAATCCTCAAGAACGCCGCTTCCCCATGAAGCCTGCTCCCCGGCAATGCTCTTTGATAGAGCTTCCAACAGCTCCGCTCTGGTAAGCTTGTGCCCGGCAGACTTCTGTTGCACACCCGCAGCGACACAGAGCTTAGCCAGCTCATCCCGACTCTGCTTCCCCAGCTCGGTGCGGAGCCAGTCTTCGCCCTGCTGGGCATAATCGGCGCGGAACTTCTGCAACCGCGAATCCATGGGATGGAAGAAGGCGTCCACGCCGGCCCTTTCGCAAGACAGCGTCGAGGCAAGCAAAACACTGTCCCAAGTATGTTCAAATGCAAAAGTGTCTGCACCGACCCTTTCGCAAGACAGCGTCGAGGCGGGCAAACAACTGTCCTAAGTATGGTCAGCTGAGAAGATGAGAATAAGCTGAGAATAATCTCCACACCGGCCCTTTCGCAAGACAGCGTCAAGGCAGGCAAGGAAGCGTACTAGGTGTAGTAAGATGCTGCAATGTGTGCAAAATACTGCAACGCGTTTTCCCTTTCTTCCCCTTCTTCTGCCTTTCGAGCCAAACGAGGCAGGCAAACGTGCAAGGAGAAAGCCTTTACAGAGCAGCAAGAAACTCCGAGCCTGCAGAAGTCATCGGCCAGGCAGCCTGCGAGTCGAACGTGTGCAAGGAGAAAGCCTCTACAAAGCAGGAGGAAGCTCCGAGCCTGCAGGTCATCGACCAGGCAGCCTGCGAGTCAAACGTGTGCAAGGAGAAAGCCTCTACAAAGCAGGAAGAAGCTCCGAGCCTGCAGGTCATCGACCAGGCAGCCTGCGAGTCAAACGTGTGCAAGGAGAAAGCCTCTACAAAGCAGGAAGAAGCTCCGAGCCTGCAGGTCATCGGCCAGGCAGCGGCGCGTTGCGCCGTCGCAAGACAGCGTACGCGCCGTACAGGCGCATGAATATATGTCTATCTATCTATCTATCTATATATCTATTATCTATCTATCTATCTATATATGGATAGATAGAAAGATAGAGATATATATATATATATATGTGCGTATATTATCGATATATGCATCTGCCAATCCCTCTGAAGGGTTGCCAATTGCACCTCGCAGAGATGCAAGTTCCTGCAATCGACCACATATATATATATATATATATATGTGCGTATATTATCGATATATGCATCTGCCAATCCCTCTGAAGGGTTGCCAATTGCACCTCGCAGAGATGCAAGTTCCTGCAATCGACCACGCCACTCCCTGTGGAGAGTTGCACGGCGGAAAGCATACAAGTAGTAGTTTGCACACACGTTTCAACCCTGGACCACGCCAATCCATGCAGAGGGTTACACGCAGCGCCCAAAGACCATGCAACAGTACCTGCACACCTTCCGATTAGAACATTCGAGGAAGCTAATCCCTCTCAATGAAGGATTGCGCGGGGCACTGCAAAATGTGTAACTTTACCTTGCGTTCGACCACTCGACCACGCCAATCCCTGTGAGGGGTTGCAAAATTCATTTCAATGCTCATCCAAAAATTGCAACTTTACCTCGCGTTCGAACACTCCACCACGCCAATCCCTGTGAAGGGTTGCAAAATTCATCTCAATGCTCATCAAAAATTGCAACTTTACCTCGCGTTCAACCACTCGACCACGCCAATCCCTGTGAGGGGTTGCAAAATTCATCTCGATGCTCATCAAAAATTGCAACTTTACCTCGCGTTCGAACACTCCACCACGCCAATCCTTGTGAAGGGTTGCAAAATTCATCTCGATGCTCATAAAAAATTGCAACTTTACCTCGCGTTCGAACACCCGACCACGCCAATCCCTGTGAAGGGTTGCAAAATTCATTTCAATGCAAATCAAAAATTGCAACTTTACCTCGCGTTCGAACACCCGACCACGCCAATCCCTGTGAAGGGTTGCAAAATGCAAATCCCTGTGAAGGGTTGCAAAAAAAAATTGAACTGCACCCAAACCCTGTGAAGGGTTGCGCGGCGCCCGCAAGAAGTGTAACTTTACCTCGCGTTTGAACGCCCGAGGAGGCGAATCCCTGTGAAGGGTTGCGCGGCGCCCGCAAGAAGTGTAACTTTACCTCGCGTTTGAACGCCCGAGGAGGCGAATCCCTGTGAAGGGTTGCGCGGGAACCCTAAAATGTGTAACTTTACCTAGCGTTTGGGCGCTCGAGAGTTCCAATCCCTGTGAAGGGTTGCGCGGGAACCGCAAAATGTGTAACTTTACCTCGCGTTTGAACGCCCGAGGCAGCGAATCCATGGGAAGGGTTGCGCGGTGCGCCTAAAATGTGTCACTTTACCTAGCGTTTGAACGCCCGAGGCAGCGAATCCCTGGGAAGGGTTGCGCGGTGCGCCTAAAATGTGTCACTTTACCTAGCGTTTGAACGCCCGAGGCAGCGAATCCCTGGGAAGGGTTGCGCCGGGCGCCTAAAATGTGTCACTTTACCTAGCGTTTGAACGCCCGAGGCAGCGAATCCCTGGGAAGGGTTGCATTCCCGATGGACCCCGACGGTGCCACCCCCGCCAATATTAAGAAATATTAAGATACCGAGATGTAGAGAGTAAGTCATAAGTCATAGTAAGTCATAGATGCATAGAGAGTCAGTCATAACAGTCATAAGTAAGTAAGTATAGTAAGTATAAGTAAGCAAGTCAAGTAAGGTAAGTCATAAGTCATAGTAAGTCACATAGTAAGTCATAGATGCATAGAGAGTCAGTCATAAGTAAGTAAGTATAGTAAGTATAAGTAAGCAAGTCAAGTAAGTAAGTAAGTATAGAGATAGCATAACATAGAGTCCAGTGTCAAGTGTCAAGTGTCAAGTAAGTTAGTAAGTAGATTGAAGTAAGTAAGTAAGTAAGTAAGTCGTAAGCATAACATAGAGTCAAGTATCAAGTGTAGAGTCAAGTATCATAGAGTCAAGTGTCAAGTGTAGAGAGTCAGTCATAAGGGTCAAGTAAGTAAGTAAGTATCAAGTGTAGAGTCAAGTATCAAGTGTAGAGTGTAGAGTAAAGTATGGAATCAAGTGAGTTGATTCTATGTCTGTCATCTATGTACTCAGCTGCGGCGTTCCACACGGAAGAACCCTTCGCGATGCTTTCGGGAATAAACATCCTAAGCTTCCATTTTGCTCAACCGGGCCGACCCGGAAACACACAGCTACCTGACAGCAACAAGACGTGCTGAAGGAGTATAGCTAGTTGACATCGGCAAAGTTGGGTGAATTCGACTACACTGTGCGAAGCTATGGAATGATTATAAGCGATGCATTGATCAAGTCAAGACTCCTTGCTTCAAGTGGTATGGGGGGCCCTTAATTAATTAAGACAGGGTTCTGGGAGGTATTTTCGACTATAGTTAGAACAAGGAACCCCCAACATAGTATTGGTAATTACGGCCCCTGTAGTACAAGGCAGAGGCATCTTGGAGTCACTCACCCCTACGCGATTTGTTTAATTTCTGTTGGTACACCAGGTACCAGCATTTACAATGCTCAACTGTTCACGGTTTACATTATGCCGAGAGGTTTGTCACATGTTACGGATCTTTAGTATGTAATATGGTGTCCTCATTATGGTCACTCAAACTAACTCCCTTACTTGGAGGTTCATGGGTAGTTATAAGTGGGGCTATAAGTGCGGTAACTATAGTTGTAACTCCGTTTAGGGGACTTATAGCTCTACTTATAACTACCTATGAACCTCCAAGTAACAAGAACACGGCAAGTTTAGAACGGCATGCAGACCCTGGTCCCAGCCTTGTGAGAACGCGACCGGCAAGCTGCCTGACAGTCTAAGGATTTAGATCGTTAGGGTCTCTGGCATGAGGGTCTACCCAGAGCCTCCAAAACCCCTTAAATAGGGAATATACCTTAAATCATATAAGGGATCCTATTATAATTTAAGGTATATTACTTACTTAAGGGGTTTTGGAGGCTCTGGGTGCATGATGTCTACATGTTGGGTACTGCCCCCCCACACAGTAACAGTCTATAACAGGGCTACTCATAAGGTCCTAATATATCTATATTATGAATATGATCCAACTGTTACTGAGTGGGGGCAGTACCCAATCTACACGTTTTCCAATTACCGACAGTCTAAGCACGGCTTTCTTCAACGAGTATCCTTGAGGGGAATGGCCGGGCTTATCCCATCACATAGGACCAGCCAAGATGGGCAATACAATCACGATACGGGTCCCGAGCTGTGTCATCTGCATGCCAAAGCTGTCAGGAAAAGCCTCGACCACCTCCGAAGAGCCCAACGAATGCCTTCGCCCCAAACCCAAACTTCTCGCGAGCTCGCGCCTCGTAGCGTGGGCTGTGCACCGGGGTGAACTTGCTGTCCTGGGTGTAGGGAGAGGTTTGCGTGTAGAATAGCGAAAATGGTGAAAGGGCATCAGCTCCTATCAAACCTGGCAGCAGATCTCGGCGACTGGTCCCTCAAACTGCGGAGGTTCCGGCTGATTGTAAAGTCAGGGAACTCAAGCCTGGCTACTCCCCACTCCTCATCTCCACATCTCGACTTTGTGACCCTGAAGCCTGAAATCTCAGAGCATGAGCTGGAAAACCAACCACATCTCTGAAATCCTGAACTGTTTAGACTAATATAGGGGCCTTAATAATCATGACAGGGTTTTGGGACCCATCGTACTATAGTTATAATTAAAGAACACCGCCCAAAATAGTTTAAGTAATTATTGAGGCCCTCTAGTAATCCAGGAAAAAGCGAGGTTCACCAACCCACGTCCTGCAAAGCCTTGCACATCATGGTACCACCAAAAACCCCAAGCTCGACAAAACAGAGTACGGTTTAGGGTTTAGGGTTTAGGTAACAAGCTATATGAAGCCATCATTGACAACCCACAGCAGAAACCCAAATTGCCCCAAATCTGGGTATCTTGCTACCGTGACACCTGCAAATACCTCAACATCACACAAGTAAAGTTTGGTACTTCGAGACACCAATGCCTCTCCGAAGGTTATCCATATATACTAAGTGTGCCGTTTAACACAAGATAGATTCGGACAAGGGCCCGAAGACTTAAGCACTGAAGTTCGAAACCGTTACGGTTTGAGGTTTCGGGTTCAGGGTTCCCAGACCTTTGGGAGGATCCAAAAAGTAGATCCCTTAATGGGGGTTCCTATAAAGTACCCTCAGTAGTATAGGGCCCCAAATTAGGGGAAATAACCTAGATCCTCCCGGGATTCTGGGTGAAGGGTTCAGCCCAGCCCCACAGCCCTATAGGATTTAACTTAGTGCAGGGACCCTGGCCGCATCAACAGCACGGCTGTCGTGCCCAGCCACTTAAACGCCAAAGCACGAAAGCCCAGAGCAACAAAACCCTTAATATCGGGGCCTTACTATTTTTGCCCCAAAATAGTACAGGTAATTATTTTAGCCACTATGATATGGGAAGCCTTCAATGAAGGAACGCTTCTTCGAAGCCTTGGTGGAAGAAGTAAATATACCCTGGTAGGAAACCTTAAAGCCGTGAACAAAGCCATCGAGGCACCCTTGCAGGAGCCCTAGCCTTAAAGAAAGCGTTAGCCTGAGAGAAACCCTTGCATGACACCTTAAAGGAAGCATTCAAAGTACTCTCACCGGTGCTCTTCTAGATGAAGCCTGAAGCGGATGCGTTCAAGGCACCCTTTGTAGAAATTGTGAAGAGGAGCCCTAAAGGAAGCGCTCAAGGTACCCTTACGGGAATCCTGACAAAATCCCTGGCCCTTCACCCGCAGAAGCCAGGACCCAAGCTACTCGAGCGCCCTGGTGGCGGAAGCCGAGAGCCTCACCGTGGTGTTGAATTTGGGGCTTAAGGTTTGGGTTTAGCCCTAAACCCTAAACCCGTTGGGGGTCAGTTTGGGACTGGGGGTTTGGGGTTTTGGGATTTTGGGGGTTCAGGGTTAGGGCCCCGACGACTTAGTATTAAGTGTTCAGGATTCGGGTTCAGGGGGCTTCGGGGTAGTGCCGGAAGCCCGGCTTTGCATTAAGTAGCAGTCTAGGGTGCTTCGGGTATTCGATAGTTCGATTTTTTAGATTAAAGCTTAGAGTTTAAAGGGTATATTCAGGGTTTAAGAAATTCGGGTTTAGGGTGTAGGGGTTTAGGATTTAGGGGCACTTGCATTGTAATGCCGGCAGCTCAAGACCATTATTAATTACAGGCTACATGCGGATCAACTCTGCGCTTTTTCAGAAGGGTATATCAAGCATAAGACCCTCGACACGAACATGTTACATGTTGCCACGTTTGCAACTGATTGCGATGAGCTCTTCAATTTCGCATGCGTGGTGTGGGGCACATTCAAGCATAATTATTCGGAAAGAGTTGTGTTGTTGGTGGACGTAAAAAGTGGCGGCTCTGATCCTAATACAGGGGCCTACATTATTACCTATTCTATTTTGGGGGTTCCTTGTTACAAGATATGAAAAAGTATAGTGTAATGGGCCCCACGAACCTATTGTAATCATTAAGGCCCCTGTATTACCTATGGACCTATAGTCTCCATTGTAGTTCCTTTTTTTGGTTAACCCAAATCTCTATTATAGGGTCCTAGCCATAAAACTGGATAACCAAAAAAAGGAACTACAGGAGGTATAGGTAACCATCAAGAACCAAGAAACGTTTATCTGAGCTCCTGGCAGACCCCGTGGCAGGTAGCTCGCTGTCTATGTGACCTCGCTGCACTCCCGATGTGCGCTGGCAAAGCTTCAGTGAAACTACAGACCCTAAGGGGTCCACGTACCTAAATTGTGTATACTTTGGGCCCAATGTACCTATATAGGGAGTACTTTAAGGCCAATGTATATACTATGAGTACATGGACCCTTAGGCAGAGAGACAGAAAGACACAAGACAGTGAATACTATACCGTACGTGCAAATATGCACATGGACCTGAATGCGCAGTACGTACATGTGGTGGCCTGCAAACGTCGCAAACTCGCGACGTGCGAATGCGTATGGAGTCATGCAAGCAGAAGAACATAGAGACATGTCAATATGTGCAGCTCTGACACCCATTGTAGTGTCTGATTGTAGCGGGCACATGAGATTGTACTTCATATCGTGCATCCTGCACGATAGGCCGGAACTCGGGGTTGGCAGGCAGTGACAGGGTGACTGGATGTAACCAGATATCGGCCAGTGCACCAACAGACCGAAGAAGAGCAAATTTCGACACACAGTAGCTTGTGAAGAAGCCTATGTTAAATTAAAGAAGCTTTGATGACCCAACATGGGTCTATTAAAACAGCACTGCGCAGGTCTCCTAAGAGCTTTCAATCAAGGAACAGCCTGAATAAGGTACCCCTAATTTCAGGAACACACCCCACCCAATAGACATCTCCATCTCCAGCCTCCTTGGAAGCCGCTGCGAAACCCTTGAATTGAATGGATCCATCTATCTGAAAGGATTCTGGTATAGCACTCTCGTACTGTCTACACTTTACGATGACAGTGACACAACAAGCATCTTGCACAACAAAACAGCCCAGTAAAATAGTCCGACATCGTCTGATGTGGCAGAAGATAGCATGACTACACGAAGCGGACACGCCTGCAGATCGAAGCCATCGGTGGCTTCGAACAGAGCTCGCACTTGAACGATCCTGCCGTTGCATTTGCTGGTTTCCCCAGTACCCTCTTGGCCATAAGGTCAATGAGGGCAGTCGTTTGATGCGAGTTTTCGCGGTGTTTGGTGGTATTGTAGGACTTGGGACTGTTTATCGGGCTCAGGATTTGGTGCGTTCGCTCCAGAGGATAGGGGACTTTTGCATTTCGAGGGTTCGGGCGCAGGGCATCGATTGCGCTTTACGTAACACGTCCTGTCGTTGAGCGTATGGCACTTGAAAGCACACTGAATGCTGGACCCCAACCCAAATCCCTGCCACGAATCATGTGCAGCGCATTCCCGGTCGCCTTATAAATTCTTTAGACCCCTGAACCCGACGGACGCTCTAATGCCTTCATCTACAAACCCATGGCTCTAACCCTCAATCCCCAAACCCTAAACCCAACCTCAACCACCCAATTCGCTGAGCCCCTAAACTCCCAAAACCTGACGAGCGCCGTGCTATAGTGGCCTAAATAATTACCAATACAATTCTGGGGGCTCCTTATGATAATTATATAGTGGGCCCAAAACCTTATTCTAATTATTGAGGCCCCTATATTGCAAGTACCTGAGGATCGGCAAGCATAAGGCGGATGAAGTTCGTCGGCCTCAAAGTGCCGGGACATTAACTTTTCGAGATTTTTCGAGTGCCTTCTGGAGTTTCAGGTTTGGGGTGTTGGGCTCAAGGGTTTTTGGCTCAGGGTTTAGGGTTTAAGGGTTTAGGGTTCAGGTTTAGGGTGTTGAGGTTTAGGACTCAGGGTGGATAGGTTGCGATAGCCTGTGTTCATGCGGCTTTCTCCATCGCTACCGAGATGGGAGAGGGAGAGGAAGAGCGACAAGAAAGCAAGGGGTTCTCGTGAGGACTCTTCCCCCAAGATGGCTCAGTTTCGGAATCCATGACTCGCTTTCGGAGCTCATCAGATTTAAACCCCCCTCATCAGCGCCTGCAAACAGCCTGTCAAACCTTCAAGCCCTTGCAACAATGCACAAAGTCAGGTTCTATACGAGGGCCTTCCGGGATGTTGCTTAGGGCTCAGGTGTTGCGGATTCCCGCTACTCCCTACTTGATTGGGGGCATTTCGGTGAATCGCCGGTCAGATTTGCACTGAACCTGGAGTGGAACGGCCTGAAGCTTCGGATGCCTCGGTGCTTTCATAAACAAAAATGGCACAAGCTTAGCCAATCTAGTGATTAAGGGTTGAGGGTTTGAGGGTCACCTACTTTCGGGTTCTAAAGTATATTCCTAGTACCTACTTTGGGCTGTTTGGATCCCAGGGAAAGTCTTCCACTAGGGTCGGCAACTGGGCTGCCAGCAGCTCTGCTGCATCGAAGGGGAACAAAAGGTACCTGACCAACGCCAAGAAGGGAGCTTCGTGTGCATATATATATATATATATATTACAGTAATAGCACATTATTGACCGTAGACATCATTTTGTAGTATATTATGTGACATAGTCTGTAAGATATGGTATTATATTCCTTGTATATGATAACATATAGCGGCCTTTCTAGCTATCCAACTTCGGTAACATTGGACCGGATAGTGCTTGAGAAGCTGCTCATTCTCAGCCTGCTGCGATGCTATACTGTGGCTCTTGTCTCGGAGGCCTCAAAGGGTGGGATGAAGGTAGGTGGGATGTTCCCAAATAAGAGTCCTTATATAAGGGATTCTTAATCCTACCTACCTTCCTCCCACCTTTTGAGGCCTCCGATCTACCATTCTGTCATGCAGCCGCTGTGACACGATCGAATTCTGGGACGCATTCTTCGACTGATGCACCATCGGATTTGTCTACAGTGCGGACTTTGAGCCGCAATAAATCGTCCCCGAGCCGTTCCGTTTCGGGCGGTTTCTCGGATGTAACTCTGTAGGGCCTCGGACTTTGTATGGGGTATTCGTTCAGGGCACCGAAGGCACCTGGAAACGGCACACTGTTCTGCTGTGCCCAGCCCCCATAGCCCGGCAAGCTTGAAAACATTGCTTATGAGGCTTCTGGTGATCTTTGTCATAGTTGGGTGGCATTTTACATTTTTATGGGTACTTAAACCCAATAAGGAATAAAAATGTATATTTTTAATCCTACCCCAACAATGAACTAGTGATGAAATTGTATATAACAAGCCAACATGAGACATGTCATGACTGTCATAACATGAGGAGTGCAACCTTCTTTTTGGACAGCTTCAATATCCCATTGCTAAACCTGCAGCCGTAGAGGCCTAACGTCGCGGCCCGAAAACAGTGTACCCTAAGTGTAAAATCATGAGTCTTCAAGTCTAAACCCTAAATCCTCAACCCTAAACCCTCAACTAAACCCCTGTTCCCTCAACCCTAAACCTCAGTGGATGCGCCTTTGCCAGTTTCTAACCATCTCCTCGACGCGGTCGATGTTGGCCTCGCTTCAAGGCTTTTTATTTTTTCGGGGCTTTAGGGTTCAGGCAGGGACGATCTCCAGGATTACATACGTATAACACAAAGGTCTCCGCATAGACTCCCCCACATCGGGACGAAAACGTGCCCAATTCCTGGCACGGAGCCAACAGCATTCTCGCTAAACACGAAACCGCAACCAAGAATTAAACCCTAGGCCTACCTTGATCCCGAGTGACCTACCTGTTCCGGGGTTCAGAGAATCACAAAAAGAAGCCTTAAAAAGGTAGGTTTTATCGGGTCCAGGTAAACCAGGGGACCCTAGAGAACACGGAACGCAACCTTTCACCGGACATTCCATCGTGGTAAGGCCGCCAAACTCGGAATGGAACGGTATCCACCGGAAACTACCGATATCCTAACCTATTTAAATGTTCTGAATCTGGGTGTCCCGTCATCGTTGAAGGGCCGGTAGCCATACAGTGCCTCGTAGGTAATGACCCCGACGCTCCTCGCGGAAAGAGGGCTTCGAGCCGAAGGCCCCTTCAACCCTAAATTTGAACCTGAAACCATAAACCCTCAACTTGACTGCTTTCGGGGATTACTATAATGGGTTCCTATACAGGGTTATGTAGGTAGGGGCTACCGTAAGGGATCAGGGTCTGAGAGTTCATATCTGAGCCTGGGGGAGGGCTTCATGGAACTGCGGTTTACCGGTGGCAGGACTATCTCTCTGAAGGCTTTGCAACTGACTTCAACCCTAAACCCTAAACCCTACTGTGCAAGGGACGGTTTAGGGTTTAGGGTACGGGAGCACCATAAACCAAAAGTCTGACACCAAGATGGGCCGTCGTACCTACCTGGACCGCCTAACTACGCTTTATTTACCTCTTAATGACAAATGTCAGACCCCTTTAAAGGGTACTTGGGGGTTCTGGTAGTCAGGAGTCTAGACCCAAATGCCAAGGCTCGAGAAAACACAACGTAGATGCAAGCCACGGAGAGTGGGCAACCGCAACTGGGTGCTTCAAAGAGCTGGAGATTGTACATAACCACTCTGCAGCTGCTGCTGCCACAACGACGCCTACTGCTGCTACTGCTCTCTACCGCCACTACAGTTGCTGGAAGGCATCGCAAAGACCAGTGCATGCACTACTGCACATGCATGGCTTCCCTAAACTCCGTTTTTCTTGTTTAGGGTGCATAGGCCTAAGACGGGTATGACATGCAACTCAAGAAGGCAGACGGGATGATGACAAGAATGACGGTGCTGGAGAACTCGATGGTGATTCAACTGGAAGTGGGTACGATGATGCCAAGTCGATGATGATGAGTGGGATTGTGGCTAAGAAGATCATGATGGCTTGGAGGACGGCGACAGCACGAACATGGTTCTTGTGGCTCATGCTGTTGCGGAAGATCTGCTGTTTACAGTGGCACTGGTGGTGGTGGTGGTGGTGGTGGCTTCGATGGTGATGGAGATGGTGTTGCAGGCAGTTGCTGTGCATGCTATTCTGTAGTCCGACTCTTTGGGGCTTCGCCCGAACTTCGAACCCCTGTTTGAATCCCGAAAAGCGGTCCAGATGTCTGCCAGCTCGCCATAGGCGCCCTGAAACACCTTCGCGATGATTAAGGCTTCGAGGTTCTGATTCTGAGCCTAAACAACTGTCCTTGGTACAAGACTGTTGCTGGCTGATGAGAGCTGTAGCGGCCGGGGGCTATGATTGAGATCGCGAAAAGGCAACATACGAGCTTTAGCCTTAATGATAAGTAATGGGTTTTGAGGTACAACATAATACAATGTATAACAAGGAGCCGTAATAATGGAATACGCTCAAAGACAAAATCTATTGCCCGAAGTGTCCATGTACACAGATAGTATATGCGTAGGTCCCGAAGTACCTATATAGGGTTTATTTTAAGGCCAAAGTATGTACTATGTGGGTACATGCACCCTTAGGGGTGAGGCTTCTATATTAGTTCGCTGTGCCTCTGGAGCCATGTTCTCCACCGTGCCGATGACCTGCAGAGCTCATTCGAGAACGACAAGCATTGCAAGATTTTGTCAGGGTTTCTGTCATTCGGTTCGGGCTTGGGGTTAGGGTTTAGGGTAGTAGCGGTTCCATAAACTTCTATAAGGTTTACGCCTTAACAGCTTGCAAGGTTAGGCACCGCCAGTTTTTATCCTGTCATGCGAAGCCCTCGCGGGCAACCATGTCTACAAAATTCTACAAACGTGGCGAAACAGGCAGGTACTGTTGATGATATAAATCCTGCATTACCTTAATGATCCTAAACTATGGGAGCTATGGTATATTCCTTATTATGGGTAGTGCAAGATTTATATTATCAACCGTAGGACCTGAGTGTTGTCCAAACAAGTACGCCCAAGCTGGCCGAATCCAACTCCAGAGCCAGCACACTTGTGCAAGTCCATCCGAGACCCTGCACTACTCGAAGGGAGGATATAAGAGCATCTGAAACTCGCTGTGCCAAAATTTTCTAAATCTTGTGAAATAGGCTTTCAGGTTTTAAACTCGCGCCAACAGTCTCTTTTTGAGGCTTCTCCAAGCCCTGTTCTCTTCCATCTTCGTGGGGAACGATTGAATGACGTGTTCTAAGGACCACAGACCTATCACAACCCGAAGAGAAATCGGTTGTGCGCGATGAGCCAACAACGCCAGTACTTGGAGGTTCATGGGTAGTTATAAGTAGGGTTATAGGTCCCTAATAGGAGTTAGCACTATAATTACCCTACTTATAACCCCACTTATAACTACCCATGAACCTCCAAGTACAAGGGCTGCGGGGAGGTGCGAGGGTATGTCGCGAACAAGCCAGCCTTTCTGAAACAAGGATTGCAGTAATCGTAGCATTGAAACTGGCCATGAAGTTCACTGCGCACACAGCTTACTTGGAGGTTCATGGCCAATGGGTAGTTATAATAAGTACGGTTATAAGTCCTCTTTTAGGGCTTGGAACTGTAACTACCCTACTTATAACCCTACTGATAACTATTGTACCCATGTACCTCCAAGTAGACCCTAAATCCTATACCCCTATGTACGTAGGACCTTTAGGGTCTATTTGGGGATGGCCTTTCGGGTATCCTTGTCTGTACAGATTGAACTTCAAAAAAACAGTTCAAAGATTCAAAGTTTCAAAAATTCAAAACTTTTTTCCTTTTGATTCAATAGAAATTCAAAACGTTTGCAATTTTGAAAATATTGAATTTTGAAGTCAATAATTCAAAAATTCAAAATTTCTGAATTTCTATTGATTTAAAAGGGCAAAAAAGTTTTGAATGATTCAAATTTTGAATTTTGGAATTCAAAAACTTGGAGCTTCGCCAGGAGATGGTCCAGGCTTTGCTTCTCCTTGGCCAGGAAGACCAATGCCCCCTCGGCATCGGCCTCAGCCTCGTCCTCCACGACCATGCCGTCGCGGAGTTTCGGAGATCTCTTGAGCTCCGAAACGACCTGCCCGCAACATGATGCACAGTAAATGCAATGCATGGAGAAACTGCACTGAATAAATGCAATTAACTGTAGCTTCGTGATCAGTAAATGCAATCTATATCAGTTACTGCACTTGAGTAAACCCGTCCTTCTGAAGGAGCAGCTTCAGGCCTTTGAACCATTCTGCCGCGTCCTCATCCGTTTCCGGATCTCCAACGAAACATTTCCCCAAAGCCCGCAAAGTGCGGACCAAGGAGTTCAGATACGAGGGCGTATAAGCCTTCTGGATGCCAGTCGCTTTGATCTGTCTCGGGTTCTCGAGGAACCAGTAAAGCCAAGCTCTTACGTTCTCGAGGGCAAAGTAATCCCACACGGACTCGAGGACCTGACCCTCATTGAAGTCATCTACGAATTGAACCAGGCCGAGGAAGCGGTCAAAGTACGACTCCGCCACGGAGTCCGACAGGCTTGGATCCCGAAGTGGAACAGCACCATCCCAAGCCCCTCAACGAACCACTCTCTGTCCACAGGCTTCAATTTACACGGAAAAATTATGAAACAATTGCATTTACCAAGCTAGACCCTCTAGCTTACTGCTATCCGAGTTTCCTGTTTGAGGTGCTCGCCCGAGCTGCGGTAGCGGCGGCTACTCAAGTTCCCCGCCAACTGCGTGCGCGGGTCAATATACTTTGCCTCCTCCACGTGGGCATCATCACCATCTGCAGCCACCAAGCCGTCAGGCTCGATTTCCTTGCGGCTCTTGAGGCGAGGCGGTCCCTTGCGTTTCTTGCCTCCCTCCTTCTTCCCTTCTGCAAGGATCACGAACTCGCCCTCTTTGACGAAGCCCTGGGCTGACTCTGCCGCAGACAGCCCCCTGGATGCTAGCAGACCATAAAGCCAGTTCTCATCCACCCGGTCATAGTGGATATACCCATCGTAGTAGACGTAAATAGGATACTGTCCATGCATCTCCCGGTCGCTGGGGTAGTGCTGCTCATCGTAGACAAAGCCGGTCTGCATGTTTTTGCACAGCGCGATGATCGGCCGACCCAATACCTGCAGTAAATGCAGAACACCAAAACAGTAAACCCTACTTATGGCAATTATTCCTATGCATTAAAGCTTCATTATTGCATTTACTGCAACCCCTCCTCCGCCAGGACCCGCATTACCTGCGAATCCGAGAACGTCTTGTTCCTCTTCTGCTTCTCCAGCCAGTCATCGCCCTCCACCTCGAAGATCTCCTGCATCAGGTCTGGCCGAGCACGTACTCGACCATCCGCTTCCGGAGAAGGCGGTGGCCGTCTTCCTCGGCCATGAAGTCGGATTTCGAGGTCGGCAAGCCAGTTCGATCCCTGCGGATCGAGCCTTCTGGGTCTGACCCCAGCGGTAGCACGCTCGCAGCAAGCAGTTCCCGTCGTCCTTCACCGTCTTCTTGACCACCTCGTCCGCCTTCAAGATGAGCCACTCCGAGGCCATATTGCTATGAGGATATTAGCAGTGCTTACCGTGCTGATTGAGCCTTCCAAGCTACAGTCAATGCGCGTCTGCTGCCTTTACATGCTAGGTAACTACTGTTGGACTGCATGAAATTATCTCAATCCTTCTGACCAGGCACCACCAGAGCATCTTCTCTGATCTGAAGCTGTCCATCTTCCAAACCTTGGCAGAGTTTTCATTTCAGCTTTTTCAGTTGTTTGCATTTACTGCTGTTTTCCATTGCATTTACTGCTAGTTGGGTTCTAGACCATGCCTACACCCTGGACCCAGGGTATTGGGTGAGCAGCTTCGAATCTTTGAATTCAAAATTTCAACATTTTCTATTGATTTAAAAGGCAAAAAAAATTGAATTTTTGAATTCAAGATTGAAATATTGAAATTTCTCCGGGCCTTGGAACTCCAAATTTTTAAATTCCAATGTTCAAAAATTCGAAAATTCAAAAATTCAAACCCTTTTAAATCAATAGAAATTCAAAAATTTTGAATTGTTGAACTCAAAATTTCAAAATTTTCAATATTGTTGAATTTCTATTGATTCAAAGAGAAAAAAGTATTGAATTTTTGAAATTTTTATTTTTTAAATTCAAAAATTTGGAGTTCCAAGGTCCGGGGATTTTTAAAAATTTTTGAAACTTTGAAGATTTTGAAATCTTGATTTCAAAAATTCAAAATTTTAAAAATTGCAATTTTTTCCTTTTTAAATCAATAGCAATTCAAAAATATTGAAATGTTGAAAATGTTGAAACTTTGATTTCAACATTCTCAAAATTTCAAAACTATTGAATTTCTATTGATTTAAAGAGATTTTTTAATTTTTGAAATTTTGAATTTTGGAATTCAAGATTTCAAAATATTGAAAATTTCAAAAAATTTGGAAATTTCTCCGGACCTTGGGACTCCAAATGTTTGAATTCAAAAAATCAAAATTTCAAAAATTCAAAAAAACAGAACTTTTTTCACTTTTAAATCAATAGAACTTCAAAAATATTGAATTATTCAAAGTTTTGGGTTTTTGACTTCAAAAACTCAAAAAATATTCAAATTTTTTGAGTTTCTATTGGTTTTAAAGGGCAAAAAGTTTTGAATTTTTGAAGTTTTGAAATTTTGAACACTGGACTTCAAAAATTTGGAGTTCCAAGGTCTGGAAAAATTTCATCAAAAGTATTGAAATTTTGAAAGTTTTGAAATCTTGAATTCAAAAATTCAAAATTTCAAAACTCCGAATTTTTTCCCTTTTAAATCAATAGAAACTCAAAAATATTGAAATGTTGAAATTTTGAATTCAAACAAAATCAAAAATTCAAAATTGTTGAATTTCCATTGATTTAAAAGGCAAAAAATTTTTGAATTTTTGAATTCAAGATGTCAACATTTTCCAAAATTTCAAAACAATTGAAAGTTCTCCGGAACTTGGAACTCCAAATTTTTGAATTCCAAAATTCAAAATTTCAAAAGTTTTTTCCCTTTTTAAATCAATAGAAATTCAAAAATATTAAATTTTTTAAGTTTTTGAATTCAACATGACAATTTCAAAATTTCAACATTATTGGATTTCTATTGATTCAAAAAGGGATAAAATTTGAATTTTTAAAATTTTGAATTTTTGAAATCAAGATTTCAAAATTTTCAAAGATTCAAAAATATTGAAAGTTCTCCGGACCTTGGAACTCCAAATTTTTGAACTCCCAAATTCAAAATTTCAAAAATTCAAAATTCAAAACTTTTCGCCTTTTTAAATCAATAGAAATTCAAAAATTGTGAATTTTTGAATTTTTGACTTCAAAATTTCAATATTTTCAAAATTGCAAAATTATTGAATTTCTATTGATTCAAAAGGTTTTTTTTTTAATTTTTGAAATTTTGAATTTTGGAATTCAAGATTTCAAAATTTTCAAAAATTTGGAAATTTCTCCAGACCTTGGAAATCCAAATGATTGAATTTAAAAAATCAAAATTTCAAAATTTCAAAAATTCAGAACTTTTTTCCAATTTAAATCATTAGAAATTCAATAATATGTTGAATTTTTGAATTCAAGTTGAAATCCTATTGATTTAAAAGGGGCAAAAGTTTGGAATTTTTGAATTTAAAATTTCAATAATTTCAATAATTCTGAAATTTCTCCTGACCTTGGAATTCAAATTTAACACATAACGCAAACGAATGGAGGAGCACAGAGGAAAGCAGGAGAAACGGAGAGGGGAGGAGAGTTACCTTTTGGCTCTCCGCTTGTCACTTGTCTTCTCCCTTTTCTCATTACAGTCGGTACCCTCCGTGTGCCTCCTCCCACGTAAGTCGTGTCAAGCGAAGGGGAGCAGAGGCACCCACTCTGGTTTCCTCTTCCCCTTTCTTTATTAGACTCCTTGTTGCCAGTAATGGAGAAGAAAAACAAATAGTTCGACACAGAGACTCGAAGTACGAATGAAGGAGAAGCGAGAAGAGTGAGACCAAGGGTATGGAAAGGCCAACACAGTTTGCCAACAGATGAGGAGCAGATGATCCCACCCTGATTTTTCCTTTCCCGAGTTCATTCCTTCGATTCCCTTCTCCCTTCTGCCGTCAAACTTTTTATGGATGAGGGAGGAGAAGAGATGAGGAGTGTAACATGGAGCACAGGTGCTGTACCCCGCTGCCAACCATTGCACAAAACAAAAAGCAAAGAAGGAGAGGTAACATAGACTTTCTGGGTAATCGGGTTATCATTGTGCTCGGTCTTCTCTTTGTGTCTTCTTGTATCTTACTGTAAAATAAGTGCAGGAAAGCAGTGGAGTCGACTCGTTTTCTTCTAACGCCTTCCATGTTCCGTCCATTTGTGCTGGCTGACAAGAAATACCAAGGTGCAGAGAGAGAGAGAGAGAGAGAGAGAGAGAGAGAGAGAGAGAGAGAGAGAGAGAGAGAGAGAGAGATATGAAGTGAAGAAGAAGAAGAAGCGAGTAGAGTATTAACGAAGGTACCGGAAGGTGCACGGACATCTTCCTCCAACCATGAATTTCGTTTTTCAATCAAGGAACGAGTTTGCTCTTAGAAGGATAGTTCCACTTTGTATTATAAGAGCAAGCTTGCTGAGGTCGAAGTTGACATATTGCCCATTGCTCTTTTCCTCGGTTACCCTTGCGAGCCTTGTCGTGTAAAGCAACCGAAAGGCAGAGAGAGGGAGAGAGAGAGAGAGAGAGAGAGAGAGAGAGAGAGAGAGAGAGAGAGAGAGAGAGAGAGAGAGAGAGAGAGAGAGAGAGAGAGAGAGAGAGAGAGAGAGAGAGAGAGAGAGAGAGAGAGAGAGAGATGAAACGAAGAAGGAGCGACAAAAGTAAGAACGAAGGTGCGATGAGGCACAGCACATCTCCCCTTCACTTTGCAATTGGTTTCCCAAAGAAGGGGAGAGTTTCGTCCTAGAAGGATAGTTCCACTTTGTATTGTCAGAGCAAGCTTGCTGATGCCAACGTTGGTGACGGAACTGCACGGCGGGCATGGCCACCACTCTGATTGCATCTTCCCCATCGCTCCTTTTAAGTAGCCACTGTGTTCGATCTTTTTTGCATCTCCCGTGTGAGTTCAATGCAGCAAAGCAGCGGAGCCGACTTTTTTTGAAATCTCTTTCCTCTGCCCATTCGCCTTCCATTCGCACTAGTTTACAAGAAACAGACAGGCACAGAGAGACAGAGAGACAGAGAGACAGAGAGACAGAGAGAGAGAGAGAGAGAGAGAGAGAGAGAGAGGGAGAGAGAGAGAGAGAGAGAGAGAGAGAGAGAGAGAGAGAGAGAGAGAGAGAGAGAGAGGGAGAGAGAGAGAGCGACAAAGATGAAATGAAGAAGAAGCAAAAAGAGCAAGAACGAAGGTACTGAAAGGGATACGGCCATCTCTCCCTCACCCGGTAGTTCGTTTCCCAAAGAAGGCCGGAGTTTCCTCTTGGAAGGATGGTTCCACTTTGTATTATAAGAGCAAGCTTGTTGATGACTACATTGACTATCCCCACGGCCCTTTACTTCGATTACCTGGCGGCCCTTGCCGTGTAGCAACGGAAGGACAGAGAGGCTTTGATTTATAGAGCACAAACAAATGAGGAAAAGGATCAAGATGACTTTCCCTTGTCGCTTCCCCTCTCCTGATCATCGTCAGGAGGCGTGTTATGTGTTCTCCTTCATGTCACACATTTCTGGTAACCGAAACACATAACGCAAACGAATGGAGGAGCACAGAGGAAAGCAGGAGAAACGGAGAGGGGAGGAGGGTTACCTTTTGGCTCTCCGCTTGTCACTTGTCTTCTCCCTTTTCTCATTACAATCGGTAAGTCGTGTCAAGCGAAGGGGAGCAGAGGAACCCACTCTGGTTTCCTCTTCCCCTTTCATTATTAAACTCCTTGTTACCAGTAATGGAGAAGAAAAACAAATAGTTCGACACAGAGACTCGAAGTACGAATGAAGGAGAAGCGAGAAGAGTGAGACCAAGGGTATGGAAAGGCCAAACACAGTTTGCCAACAGATGAGGAGCAGATGATCCCACCCTGATTTTCCTTTCCCGAGTTCATTCCTTCGATTCCCTTCTCCCATCTGCCGTCAATTTTTTTCATGGATGCGGGAGGAGAAGAGAAGAGGAGTGTAACATGGAGCACAGGTGCTGTACCCCGCTGCGAACCATTGCACAACACAAAGAGCAAAGAAGGAGAAGTAACATAGACTTTTTGGGTAATAGGGTTATCATTGTGCTCGGTCTTCTCTTTGTGTCTTCTTGTAAGTTAAGTGCAGGAAAGCAGTGGAGTCGACTCGTTTGCTTCTAAGGCTATCCATGTTCCGTCCATTTGTGCTGGCTGACAAGAAATACCAAGGTGCAGAGAGGGAGAGGCAGAGAAAGAGAGAGAGAGAGAGAGAGAGAGAGTTTGTGTGTGTGTGAGAGTGAGAGTAAAGGCATGACAAAACGAGATGAAGAAGAATCGAAAATAAACTAGAAGAGGGAGAGCGAAGATACTGAAAGGGATAGGGGCATCGCC